ATCGCCGGCAACTCACGGCAGCCCAGCTCCAGGTTGAGCTGTTGTTCAGCATCTTAGCTGTAGAGGGCAGTGTCACTGGCCCTCATATGTGAGATCCGAACCGGGGCCCTCTGGCGTCCCAAGCCAGTTCTTAACCATCGCGCCACTCAGCCGGCCCTTTGGAAGCTTTCTTTTCCATTTTTCTTTAATATGGTTGTCACGCATTTGGTATACAGTTAAGTTTATTTGTTTCTGTTTGTTTCCAACTTTGAAGTTAATAAAAATCCTTGTTGATTTAACCTTTGGCATTTTAATTATAATGTGTCTTGGTGTGGGCCTCTTTGGGTTCATTTTGTTTGGGACTCTGCATTCCCTGGACCTGGATGTCTATTTCATTCATGGGGTGGGGGAAGTTTTCAGTCATTATTTCTTTAAATAGGTTTCTTGTCCCTTTCTCCCTTCTCCTTCTGGGACATCTATGACTCGAATGTTGGTATGCTTAATGTTGTCCTAAAGGTCCCTTAAAACTATCATCATTTTTTTTTAAGATTTTAGTGGGGAACTGGGGAAGGGGAACAGTGTTGGGGAACTGGGGAAGGGGAACAGTGTTGGGGAATTGGGGAAGGGGAACAGCCAAGTTGTCTGGCCTCACTATCTTTTTTTAAAATATTTTTTCTTTTTGCTGTTCTGACTGGTGTTTCTTTCCCACTAACCTTGTCTTCCAAATCTCTGATTTAATCCTCTGCTTCATCTAATCTATTGACTCCATATACATAATATAGTCTTCATTTCAGTTATTGTAGTCTCCATTTCTGACTGGTTCTTTTTTTATGTCTTCTATCTCTTTGTTGTAGTTCTCCCCAAGTTCATTGAGCATCCTTATAACCAGCGTTTTGAACTCTGCATCTGGCAGATTGCTTGTCTCTGTTTCATTTAGTTCTTTTCCTGGGGTTTTGTCCTGGTCTTTCGTTTGGAACATGTTTCTCTGTCTCCTCCTTTTGGCTATCTCTCTGTGTTTGTTTCTGTGAATTAGGCAAAACAGCAACCTCTCCCGGTCTTAAAGGAATGATCTTGTGTAGGAGCTATCCCTTTGTAGATGTCAATGTGGATAACCCTTCCTCGCCTGTGGGAGGAGGGGTCCTCCATGTCCCCAGTGTATACATTCATTCATTCACCCATACAACAGACATTAACGCTGGTTCGTGCCAGGGAACTGAGGATCCATGACATGGTGAGAACACAGCGGATGCAGCCGGGCTGAACATTAACCATTAAACAGTCGCCCCACCTTTACACCTACAGCATGGGCCAGTGAGTATCCTGGGGGTGCCCCAGGAGTGCTCCCCAAGCCTTTGCCAACCCCTGGTCCTATGCAGGGGTGGGGGGTGGCCATGGGCACTGCCCTGGGGTCAGGGTTCTGCCACCTGATGAGACAAAGAGTTAACAGGAGTGGGCTTGTGAGCTGGCAGGATGGGACAGGCAAAGAGTTAACAGGAAAGGGCTTGTGGGCTAACAGGAGCGAGCTAAACATTAACCACTTGTCTCTGACTCCCCCGGCTAGCACTGCACCTGCAGGTTGACAAGCACCTTACATCCATCATAGGTAGGAACAGAACAGTTTCTAATCCCAACTGGCAACCCCCTGCAAGCTGACCTCCATCATAGATGGGAGCAGAACAGTTCCCAGGAGAAGACAATTGTATCTGCAGCCCCCCTGCAAGCTGACAAGCACCCTACGTCTTGCATGGAAAAATATACAACTGGAGCTAAACAGAAACGGGCTCCGCTCTTTCTTTCAGACTGCCCTGGCAAAACTTCTGCCAGTTACAAACAGAAATCTCTCTCTCTCTCTCTTTTTTTACTTTAAATAAATCTTTTCTTACTCTTGTCGAGTCTCGTAAATTCTTTTACATTCTGCGAACGACCAGGGGTTAACTCTATGCCAAGACACCATCCACGTGTCAAACAGACCCTTCTCGGCTCCCTGCGAAAAAGAAACCGCTCCGGTGTCACCCGCAACGTGGATGTCGTTTGGCCCCCGACCCGGTACTCCCCAGCGGCTCTGCTCACGGCCTCCGCTGAGCCCGCGCGCGTGGGGTGGTTTCCTAATGCAGGCGGTGTCTCGGAGAGCGCCCAGCCCAGCTCCTGCAGGCAAGAAGCTAGGGCCAGGTCACGCCAGCAAGCGGGAACCGAGCCTGGGCGGAAAAGCGTGCCCAGCGGGGCTGGAGGGCGACGGGCGGGGCCTCTGGGCGGGGCGGGGCCTCTGGGCGGGGCGGGGCCGGCCAGCGGGGCGGGACCCAAGGCTCTAACTTCCCTGCCCCTGGGCTCGACCTCCCGGAGTCGTGTAGGGTGACAACGGCCGGCCGTGCGCCCAAAGGACGCGAGCGATGGGTGAAGACGCTGTGCCCAGGGATCCTTAGACTGGAGTGGGGTGGGGGAGGTCACACGCGCGCTTCCACCCGCCCATCCACCTACTTGGGACCTGGCCGCCCTTGTAGGAGTCGCGTCTCTTTCATCTGCAGCCCAACAGGCGTGGGGGGAGGGGAGGGGGATGGTGGCTCCAGTACAGGGCCGCCGGTGTCCTCTCAGGGTTCTGGGAGGCCCGGGTTAGAGACGCAAGCGCCTGGGGGTTTAGAGGTTTGCAGGTCTCCAGCCCGTGGGGAGGGCCAGCGGGAAAAGAAGGTAAGCGCTGGACAGTGCGTAACGCAGCCCTGATCAGAGTAGACCGGAGACAGCATGGTCAGAACCGGGGTCCTGCCGCGTGAAATCCTCAACCCGCCTCGCTCTCCCTGTGTGACTTTGGACACGGACTGCACCCCCCTACGCCTCAGTTTCCCGGTCTGCGAAGGGAGAGTAATAGTGATCCCACTTAACTGTGAGGATGTGGGGAGATGGGCCACTCCATGTGGCCCTCAGCGAAGGCTCAGAAAATGTTGGCTATTGTTATTACTGTTGACTCCAGCTTTACAGAGAAGGAAAGGGAGGCTGCGTTTCTTTTGTTTTGTTTTTGTTTTTTAGTAATTTGCCCAAAGTCACACAGCCAGCAAGTGGCAGAGCCCAGACCTAGCCAACCTCCCAGCCTATTCTGCAGTGAAACCCTGGCAAGGTTTTCTTCACCCAATGGACCCAGTTTTTTTTCCCTCCCCTGGGGATCCCCACACTCACCTCTGGTTCTTTCCTCATAACCCCCTGGGGGCGGCAGGAGATCTGAACCCCTGGGTAGCACTGATGCCCTGGACATATTAGGGCATAGATGAGGGGCTCAGGAAGTGCTGGCTTCATGACTGAGTGGGTGGCTCTGTTTGTTTTCAGGTCTGTTCTCAGAGCTGAAGCTGGCTGTGCCCTGGGGCCACATTGCTGCCAAAGCCTGGGGCTCCCAGCACGGCTTCCCCGTTCTCTGCCTGCATGGCTGGCTGGACAACGCCAACTCCTTCGACAGACTCATTCCTCTTCTCCCAAAAGGTGGGATGGGGGCTGAAGGGAAGCGGAGAGGCCAGGTGGCAGGACTGCAGGAGAATGAGGGAAGGGGAGACAGTGGGCCCACACACCTTTTTCACCTCCTTTATCTCTGCCTCAGACTTTTATTACGTTGCCATGGATTTCGGGGGTCATGGGCTGTCGTCCCATTATGGCCCAGGTCTCCCGTATTACCAACTAAACTTTGTGAGTGAGATCCGAAGAGTTGTAGCAGGTGAGTAAGAGGCGGAGTGTGTGTGTGTGTGTGTGTGTGTGTGTGTGTGTGTGTGTGTGTGTGTTGGTGGGGGTGCTCTGGGACACCCCCTCTTATCATTGAAGTGGGATGTGGTAGCCAGGAAGCAACGCTGGCCTGGGGGTGACCTGCCAAGAATTCATGGGTAACTTTGGGAAAGTTGGAGAAGACTGCCAAAAAGAGTTCATTTTCTCCTGGGGGTTCCACACCTAAAGTGGATCTAGGGCCCCTCTAAGCTGGTCTCCTGAGTGGGGCGCCTCAGATGCGGGGGAGGAATTTCTCCGAGCACAGGGACTGCAGAGGAGGTGGGGGGGCTGGGCCCATGCAGACCTGGCTCCTTGTGCTTTCAGCCTTGAAATGGAATCGTTTGTCCCTCCTGGGCCACAGTTTTGGTAAGTTCACTTTGGCCGGACCAACCGGGGCTCCTGCGATGGGGCTGCAAGGGAGGGAGAGGAGCTGGTGCACAGGTACCTCCCACTGCACTTCTGGGAGCTGCAGGGAGACAGGAGGAGGCTCCTCAGACACTGACCTTTGGGCACTGTGCCCTTTGGCCTCAGGCAACTCCCCTGAGGCACATATGGCCCCCCTAGGTGGCTATCTCCCAATTTGACAGGAAAACGTAGCCTTCTGAGTGGTCAGGTCTAATAAAGGGGTCACCTGGCCCCAGGGAGGGAGCCCCAAGTTTGACAGCAGATACTGAATCCCATCCACTGGTGGGGAGAGGAGCCAGGCCCCGAGCCTGAGGGTGGGCCAGCCCCTGGGAAGAAGTTCTGGTGGGATTTTGACTGCCGGGGAATGTCAGCCAGACCATCCCTTTGTCCCACAGGCGGCAGTGTGGGTGGAATGGTGAGTAGATGGCTTTACAGTGACCACCTCTAGCCACCGAGGGGTGCTCCTTCAAGTGGGGTGGGGAGAACCCCTCAGAAGGAAGAGGCGGAAGTGAGCTGGGAAAGGAAGTGCCTCCTCAGATCAGTTTCAAGTCAGCGTTTTATTAGCTCGTGCTGGTTTGCTGTGTAGATTGCAGTAATAATAATGATCACGGAGAGGTAAGTGGAAACGCAGGCTCTGGTGGAGTTAGGAGCTTTGACATCCCCTGTCCCCTCTGTCACAGAGAATCCTGGAGTCCAGCCATCACCAGGGTTTGGAGCTCTGTGCTGGGTGTGGACTGGATGTTGGCGGGGGTGTGGGAGGGGGGGTGTGTGGGGGGGTGGGGGGACAGAAGGAAGGTCCCTGGAAGGGATAGAAGAGTCTCATTCTAGCCTCTTGGTCAGCACCCTCCCCGCAGCCTGAGAGATGTTTCAGGAAACACCAGTGTCCCCAGAGAAGAGTCTGAGTCCCTTTTCCTTCAAGTTCCTCTCCTATCCATTCTTCTCTTTTTGTGTCACATAGTTTTCCTGTATCTTCCCTGAGATGGTAGATAAACTCATCTTGCTGGACTCAACCCCTTTCTTCCTGGACTGTAACGTAAGAATGGGGGCTTTCATGCATGCTGCCACCAGGGCCCGGGGTAGGGCCCCCAGCCCTGTCTCCTCTGGTGCATTCCAGGGAGGTGGGGGGAGGTGGCCAGAGGTAGACAAGGGGAGTCAGGGGCCCCCCAACAGAGAAAACAGGGCTGTGTTGTGCTGCTTGTACCCCTAGGAATGGGCAGGGAAAGGGGCCTTTGTTATACTTGGAAGCCCTGAGTGTGGCCTGGGAGCTGCAGAATGCCAGGGCAATCATCAAGTAACAAGGGATGGGAGAGGGTAGGGGCAGTGGGTTAAGGACACTCTGGGAGCTTCCAGCTTGGCCAGCCCACCCACGCTCATGCTCAGTCAAATGCCTTTGTGCTGTGTATACATTGCACAAGCGCACACAACAGCCCTGTGTGTGGGCTGATAGCAAAAGCGCTGACACCTCCTGCCACCATCGCCAATGACAACAATCAGGGCCGTCCCTGCATCTGAGTCCTGGCTCTGCCATTTACCTACTGTGTGACCCTGGGCAAGCCACTTCACCTCTCTGGGCCTCAGTTTTCTCACATAAAATGAGGAGCTTGGACTAGATGACCTTGGAGGTACCCTGCCAGCTTCTGTCATTCTGTTCCCAAGGGCTTTCGGTTGTGACAGCTCCTTCGTTGGTTTTTGTTTTTGTGTCTCTCAAATGACCACAAATGCCGTAAGGGCAAGAACCATGGCTATCTTTTTATCACCACGTACCCAATCCTGGCACATAGTAAGTGCTCAGTAAATATTCGTTGAATGGATGGATAATTTGTGGGTTATGGTGAGGATCCGGTGAGTCTGGGTCTCACTTCTTTATGTGTTTCACCCACTGAGTTGACAAATGCAGTGCCCCCCAAGTCTTTCTCCTGGGGGGTCTGTTGAGTGTTTTGTCCTCCCTGTTGGCTGTACTCTCATAGAGCATGGATGGGAGTGTCACTTCCCACTGCTACCCCAGGCAGTGCACTGTGGACAGGGCCAGGCCGTTCCCAGAGTGAGCTGGGCTGGAAAGGGGTACACACTGGGGGAGACTGGCAGCCTCTGAACTGCACCCCCACCAGCCTCCACTCCACCATTCAGTGATAGCATTAAACCAGGTGAAATGGCCAACTCTGGGTTCCTGACTTACGGACCCTAATATCTCACCTTCGCGAGCATTTGGCAGCTGAGATTTCCTTCCTATTCCGTCATCCTTCATCCGGTCTGACACCTCACCTCCAGCTGGCCCCCGCCACAGGCAGGGCTGGGATGGCTGTGACTAGGCAGGCAACTTGCTCCAGACCACAGTGCTCATTAGCAGGGGCTTATCCTGTGCCCCTCCTCACTGGGTCAGAATGAATCGCCAGCTAAGAGGGTGCACTACTGTGGGGCTGCTGAGGGCAGAGGGTGGGGCTGGGCCCTTTTGTCTGCAGGTGAGAGCTCTGCCCACCCAGCAGAACCATGAATATTTAGGAAACAGGGAACCTGCTGACCTACAAGCGGAAACTGATAGAGCACACGCTGCAGATGGGGGAATTCTCCAAGAAGCCCTCGCGCGTGTTCAGCCAGGAGGAGGTGCTACACAGGTGGGTGCCCTCAGGTGAGAAGGGGGTGGGGGTGCAGGACACCGAGGGAGGAAATCTTTGGGGCATGGAAGAAGCTACTGTCTCCCACTCGCAAATCCACACCGAGCCTGTTTCTGTCTGTGCCCACCCTGGGCATCAGGCTTCCTGGCACTCCTCAGACGCCCAGCTTTGACTTGTTCTCCCCACTCTATAGCCATGCCCTGCAGCCCTCTCCACACACTCAGGCGCCCCTTCCTCTCCCTTCATGCACACACTCGCGCCTTCCACAGCTTTTCTCCCCTCTGCGGTTCCTACCTGGACCTCTCTCAGGGCACCTTGCTAATTGCCCCCCTCCTCCTTTGGGCCTCAGCTGCTGGCACTTCTTCTGGAAGCCTGCCCTGACTCCACCTTCCTGCCCTGTAGGTAATCTCAGGTCTGCAGGTGGTGAGTAAGGCTTCTTGGTCACATTCGTGCCTCCAGCATGGGCCAGTGTGCCTGGTAGTCAGGGCTCTGTAACTACTTGTTGCTTAAAGGAGTGAAAACACGCACACACTTCCCGCTGATGTGCACATCCCCTGCTCACATGCCTTTGTCCCCGTGGGGTGGCCTCCCTTCCCCTGCCCTTTTCTCCTTTCCACCTGGCCTCTCCTTACGCAGTGCTCTCGGTGTCCTCCTATCTCCCCCAGGTTCCTGCAGAATAACAGCCATGTGAATGAGGAGTGTGGGGACCTCCTGCTGCAGAGAGGAGCCACACAGGTGGCCACAGGTGAGGCGACCACCACCCCAGGCTGTGCTGATGGGCACTGTTCTTGGCGAGGAATGATAATGACTAGGTGGGCTTTGGACCAAACAGTAGCTCATTTAATCTTCCTGCCACATCCCATTTAGAGCAGGACAGACTGAGGACTGGAAAGGCCGAGTGACTTGTGCCAGGTCAGACAGTACTGCACCTCCCAGAAAGCCACGTCCTGTGGGGAGCTTGGTCGGGCATCTTGGGACCAAGTGTTGGGGAATGTCACAACCCTACTGTGCAGGTCCTGTGTGGTGGGGCGCCCGGTGTCCAAGGCTAGACTTTGAGGATGTCCTGTGGGGCCAAGTGCCTTTGAAGAGGTTTTTCAAAACGGAGAAGTGGAATTGGTGATCCCCTGGCTTCAGGGCAGTGTCGGTCCGTGTCTTCTGCACTTTGTTTCCTGATATATTCATTTACCTAGAGTGTGCTCTGTGCCTGAGCGAGGCCACGGAGCTGCGGGGAGCAGGAACTGACACGGGGTTGTGGGGAGGGGGGTGTCAGTACCTCTGGCCAGCACAACTCCAGGAGGTGCCATTCACAAGCGCCCTCACTGGAAATGACTCTTCCAGGACTTGAGCAAGGAGGCCGGGCAGTTGTACATTCTAGGAGGAGAAATGGACGATAAGCCAGTAAACAGACACATCAGTAGATGCTTTTTTTGTTGTTTTG